CCCCCCCCCCCCCCCCCCCCCCCCCCCAAAAAAAAAAAGCCTCAATTATGGCACTGAGGTTCTCCAATAGCACCATGTGCACGACTCGGACCATCCCAACGAGTCAAAGTACTACTTAATTCCTTTAAGGTGAATAGCTGCTAAAATTAACTATTTCTGTTCGCTTGACAAAAGCTTTATGCAATGTCATACCGGTCCAAATACAGCAATCTTGAGTTTGTAAGAGTCTGAGTTCAAGTAAAATATTATATAATACAGATAATTAGCACTGTTTAATACTAGAATCACTGACTATTAATTTAAGACAAAATATGTTAACATCTGTTTCAGCGAACTGATGACTACAATTCCTCAGTTTCTTTGGATGGTGAGACTCCATCCTATTCGACGAGTGAGCAATGTGGAAACACTAAGGCTAAGTTCCTAGGCTGTCCCCTCTGCTAATTTTGTTACTAAAACCCTACACTGTCTACAGCCAAACCTATAGGACATCCGTACATAAAAACACAGCCAGGTTTAACGGTGAGCCGCAAAACTCAAACTAATCACCCTCTTTCAACAGAAAGCAATCCCCCATATGTGGAAAAGGGTAGCCCTGTTGACATAAGCCAATGAACGACTCACAAGCCTTTCAAATTAATTGTTTAAATGTAGACAGCAAGCCCAATAACAGATCTTGGAAAAAAAGAGGACAAGTCCAAGACTCAAACCAACCTAAAAACAATTTTTATCAAAATTATGGGTAAGACCATATTCTAACAAGTTAGATACTCCAATTTCCTGTACTTTCTTTTTGTTATCTATAAAATGAAAAAAAATATTTATGTGCCCCCAAACATCCGAACTACAATTTTTCTTTATTTTATTGCTTACAAAAACTGTACTCTAATCTGTTTACGTGCAATGATAATCAAGCAATACCAAAATTTTAATAGGGCCTAGCCAATTGAAAACCATTTTACAAACAGATTGCAAATTTGCAATACCTGGCTTGTTTAAAAAAAGTAAGTGATACTTGCACTGATGTTTTCAAGTTTAATAATCAGTGTATTACTTTCTGGTCTCTTTCCAACTCCAAAACTTGATATAGGGCAATAATACTTGGCTGTTCTTCGTATGCAGGCTTGCACACCTGCCACCTGTTGGCAATGGATTCTCATGGCAAGCTCCTTTATTGGCAGTTCTACATAAATTTGAATCACTCACTCAAGCTTCCAAAGCCAAACAGAGGAACTAATGTGAAAAGTCGGAAAAGGGTTACACGATGAAAGACACATATAGCGTCAAATGTAGATGGCCATATGACTCTAGCATCGGGAAATTGTCTTACTCCCCCTCTATGACTTACTAGAAATCAAACAAAGATTTTATCTTTCATCCAATTCGGTATAAATGTTACCGTAACTCAACGAACCAGAATGTCAATTAGGCTACACAATTCACACCAGGAAATTTTTTTGTCCGATTACCAAGAACAAATAAAACAAATTAGAGTCCATTGTGCTTCTAATTAGTGATCTGAGATGCCAATGTTCGACAAGCATTGAAACAATCAACCCATCATAGATAACATCATAGGTTTATCAACATTAATCAGAATTTTTTCTTATATTCACATGCTGTGAAGAAATCCAAATAAGCAAATTATGAAGCAAGATGTCACTATTAATCTAGGATTATTAAACCAAAAAAAAAAAAACAAGAATCACAATACAAAAATTTTACATTTAATTGGAAGGTACTACGATGCCCTTGGAATTCAAATGCTACAAGTTCCCAAAAAGCCCAGAACTAAATTGAACCCAAACAATGACAATAGTACAAAATTCACTTACCGGAAAAATTGAAGAGACTCCAATTGAAACCCTGCCTGTTATCGGAAGACGAACAATACGGCGAAGACGAACACGACGACGAAGATGAAGAAGAACAGGAAGATTTCGGATTGGAGCCTGAGCTTCCACTTCTGAAGCTAAATCTGGGGTAATAGTTAAGCAAAGTTGCTGATGTCGCCATATTCTATATATATGTGTACACGCAAGAAGATACTTAACGGTAATAGAAACAAGCAAAGTTAGGGAAGAGTGAGAAAGCCGTAACTGCACTCACAGTCTTTATGGTTGGACCAGCCTTCATAGTTCATACCCAACTGGGTAAAACTAGAACTCACTCTTCCAAGTCATCCACTCACAACTCCAGCCTGGTGCTGCTAGTGCTCTGAAAATGTGGATGTTAGTGTAATTTATATTAATTTATAAAAAAAAAAATTAATTAGAAAAAATAGACAATCTCTAATAAAAATTTAAACCCTTACCCGCATTTGAGTAAAAAAAAAAAGTAAAAAATTTAATTTGGTACAGAACTTTTCGATGGCAAACTTAATTTTAAATGAAAAAAAACTCATATTTAAAAAAGGGTAGAATATAACTATTAAATCTTTAAAAGCGGGTGTAATCTCACCATTAAAAATTTAGATTTAAAAAAATAATTTTTCTTGATTTGGGTTTGAAAAAAGTTTCCTTTCATTTGGTGTGGGTATGAATTTGGCATTTGAGAAACATTTTATACCACTAATAATTGTTTGTGCATTATATTACTTGTAAAAAATTAAAATAAAAAAGATATATTAAGCGAATTTACAATAACGCTCTTTATGAAATTAAACATTGAAAATAGTATATGCTTAGCAAAACAAAATATCACAAATATCTTGGCAATAGATTTTGGTTCATATGGTTCAAAGCACACATCAAATTAGAGAGAACACAAAAAATGAAAGAATCCAAATTTAAAATCAAGCAAATTATTTCGTCTATTAAGTGATCTCAAAAATCAAAATAGAAAAAATAAAAAGAAAAACATATTGTGAAAGGGAAGGAAAATTTATGCAATCTAAAAAAATTAAATTTCAAGAAAATCCAATTCACAATACCTTTTCAATAAAAAACAATGGTCATGAAATGTAAAAGATAAAATAAAGATGAGCATGTAAGAAACCCCCTAATACGACATACAAAAGAAAAAGTAAACTTTTGTGGTTAAAAAAAAATAAAAAATTCAATTGAGTTGTCTACATTTTTAGGAATTAAGATCAATTGAGAAAATTTAAAAACATTAAGAAAGCAACACAATACAAAATAACAACGAAATCAGGGAAAAAATGAAAGTCTTGTTGGGATTTCTCACGATTTGAATCCACTAACAAACACACACAATCGAAGAACAAATCAAGAATATAAAGCAATAAGAAACAAGAAAGAACAAGACACAGATTTTACGTGGTTCGGCAATTTTGCCTACGTCCACGAAGCTGCAGGGATTTCACTATTGAGAGAGTTGAATACAGAGAGCGGCTGTACCATACACGATTAACCCTAATCACCAAAACAACAGGGTTTATATGTCCTACGCACTGGGCTGTATAACGGGCCCAAAAAAATTTTCCTCGGGGGCGTTGCCCCCGAACCCCCACGAGGCTTGTCCATGAGCGCTACGGCTTGGGCCCTTCGCTCCATGGACTAAGCCTCAGAAAAATTTCCATTAAAAACCACACAACATTATTTCAGGTCAAGGTCATCATCCGGATCACATATACAAACTAGACTCCATAAAAAATAAACCAACAAGTCTTACATACTAAACATGTAAGTACAATGTTCAAGAAATGAAACAAACTTACTAATTTTTAATTATAAGAACAAAGCCCATAATTTTACATTTCAATTCCAACATTTTTTTAAGCAAAGTATTAAAAGGGAAAGTAATTAAGTTACTAAAAACCTTCATAACCCAAGAATGATGGAAAAATTCCATGACACCTTTTAAAAGTCAAACAAAGACGTGACCAATTAAAATTGCACCTAACTTTTCGAGAGACTTTCGAGGGGTCACTCTCACTTCCTCTATTTTAGCTATGTAATACATTTCAGCTTCTCTATAACTCATCCGGTATTATCAAAAATAATAAAAGCTTAAATCATGCTCCTTAGCAAGCTTCATTGCCACCATGCTACGGAGATGATGTTGTAAACAAATATCATATAGTTTTAATTGTGTTGATAAAATTATTGCACAACATATAATATCTAACAATTTTTTTTCACTCAGATTGAATCAATGAAAAACAAACAATAGTTAATATATCGCATGATTTATATACTTATTCCACTTGGTACATTTACTACACTTGAGGTGCCATCGATATTTGCACTTGAAAAGTAGATTATGAAATAATTAGTGTGACTAAAAAAACAAATTGAAAAACAAAAGAAAATTATGAAATCAGTGGACCTAACTCTTTCAATTGCAACTCCAAGTCACCCATTAGCACCAAAAAATAAACACAACCCACAAAACATAAAAAATATACAATTGTTGTCATTTTAACAAACAGGTGATATGCGGCTGTGGTGTGTTGGTTGAAGGCAGCCTATGTAAGGCATTTAACAAACAATTGATGTGTGTCATTTTAAAAACATTTTAACAAATGGTTGTGTATGAGGAGGGAAGGGACTAAGCATAATGTAGGCTGTATTGTGCGTGGTAGTGGGAAATTGGTGTGTGTGTGTGTATGTATGTGTGTGTGTAAGAGAGAGAGAGAGAGAGAGAGAGAGACAAAGAGGTTCAGAGATTACCTTCGATGCCTGTCATGGGGTGCTTTGCCAAAAAGAAAGAAGGGGCAAGATATGAGTGAGAGAGAGATTAACCGAGAGAGGAGGCGGTGAGGGAAGGAAAGTAAAGAAGAGAAATGTGAGTGAGGGAGAGTAGAGACTCCATTATGTTTGGGAGACAGAGAAACATGAGTGAGAGAGAGAGATAGTGGGGAGAAAGAGAGTAGATACTCCATTCTGTTTGGGAGATACAGCGAAACGTGTGAAAAGACAAGTCTAAAAATACTGTTCTACTGCCTCTTGGAGAGTGTATGAGTGGAAAAATTTTTGGAGAAAACTTTTGGTTCGTTGGATCAATAATCTTGAAATGATCTGAGACGTTCCAACTATTTTATAAATTTGGAGATTTGAAACTTTTTGTACTTTATTATATAGATTTTTACCCAAATTTAAATTTAAGTAAAAAAAAGAGTAAGGGCTAAAGATGACTTTTATTTCGCTTCAGTTTTAAGGTGAGGTTATTTTCATTCCCAATTAATTTTTATTATTATACTATTAAGTTTCCCCTTATGTATATGTTTCATTAGTAATTAAGTTCACCTTGTGCTATATACATCTATTTCATGAATAAGTTCACTTGTTTTATGTGCACCTTTTTAATGACTAAGTCCACTACATTATGTACCCACCAATTAAGGACTAAACTCGGCTTATTACTATATTGCATCGGGATGAATTCTATGCAATCATTGAGATAGTGACACCTTGATGAATTAGATCTAGAATTCGTAAAACAAGAAATGAGTTTAGAAATGGATCAAACATATATCTAATGCATCCCCTTCAATGCTTAAGCTAGTTCGTGTTTAGGTGAGAGAATATGATTGTCTTATAATAAAAGCTGAGTTATGTGTATATATCTGAGACTTAATCCTGAGTTATTTACGTCTTGAGAGTTAATGGTGTATAGAGGTTTAAATTGGGTTGAACTGTCATTGGCACGACACAACACGACGACTAAAGGTGAGCACAATATGACACAACTCGAAATGGGTCGGCCCAAGCACAAGCAGACACCCTAGGCCGGGCTGGGCCTGTGATTTGAGCCCAATTGTGCTGGCATGGGCACGACTAACAATCATTTTTTAAAAAAACAATTGGTCAAAAATTCTATTTTTACCCCTCCCAACAACTAATGCTAGTTTAAGGGGTAAATCTAGAATTTATATTTTTTCGCTCTTCTTCATTTTTACCCCTCCTAATGGCTATATAACAACTAATTTGAAGGGTAAATTTGAAATCCAATATTTTTAAATTATCTATAAATATCTTACCTCATTTCCTTTCTTTTTCACCAAATTACTCACTTTCTCTCTACAATCTCTCTTTCTCCTAACACCAATGTGCACATTTTCATTTACAAAGCTATAAGTATAAGTTATACTTTACAACTACATCAATATGGGGCATTGGACGAGAGGAGGAGCATATTAACTCCAGAAAATCTCAGAATGTCTTATGTGTATAAAGGATTGAGAGGACACTACACTTAGAGCTCAGAGTTGGAAAGATGACATGGGAAGACTTTGTAAGCTTAGATAAGTAATGAACCAAATGAGTAGTGAAAAAAATGTAATCTATTTTGTTTTATTTTTTCTACATATTGTTTATATTTATTTCACATTGTATCTCATGCATTGCATTATTTTTTTTAATTTGTATTAGTTCTCTAATTTTGGGGTAAGGCTCATTACGTTTCCTCTTTTAGGAGTATTTTTTTTATTTTACATTGATAATTTTTTTTTACACTGTTAAAGATTTGCCCAAAAATTATTGCACGACACTTAACACTACACGAGCACAAATTAGGCCGTGCCCAAATCCCAACACACAAGCATGACACGGACACACAAATATTAATGGGTCGGTACAACACAACATATTTGACACCTCTAATGATGTAGAGTCTAAAGGGTCGCATCAAATGATCTGCTTGGACACCGGTAGGAATAATATGTCAGTGACTACCTCCATCCTTGAGCTGCGTATCTACTAGGGCTAGGAAAAGTCGGCGGTCACTCAAGGGCCAAATACAACAAAGATTACCTCACTCGAGAGACTGAGTATTTAAGTAGCACTATCTAGACATTAAAGGACCTTTGTTAGATATTTAATGAGTTGTGTTGAACATTTAAATGGTGAACATCGAGCATTAACTCATGCATCCCCGGATATTTCTCTATCCACTTAAGTAAAGGTCATGTCTTTTTTGAGCCGTTATTCATACAATTCGATTAAGGTCCACATGAATATGACGGCAAGACTAATCATTTTTTGTTATCGGTTAGGTTAGTGAGCCCTTATGTTGGATCAACATTACTGTTTGGGCATGAGACAAGATGTCCTCTAGGGTCCTACAAGTAATCCCAAGCGAGTTTGAGGCAGCTCAATTTGACGGGTCTGCATTAGTCGTGATTTGCCTAGATTTGCCTAGAGGAGTTGAATACTCTCGGTGGGACCCATCCTTTTCCACGTGTTCAATAGAATTAACTTAAACTCAAACTGATAAGTACATTTGACAAATCAAGCTAATTATGACCTAAATTCAATAGTAAGAGTATACATGAACCAACTAACTTCATGTAGGGTCAATAAAAAGTATTAACAATTAACACATCATCGTACTTAAATCATGTAAGTAGTGTTGTCACCAAATTTGGTTAAACTCCTTAGCAACCTATTTACGAAGTTGATCTCAAGGGTCAATCATATGATAATTCAAATTCCCCCAAAAAAATTTAGGTCGGTTAGTTTCATGTCAATTTCACATCAACTTGGCTAATCGTGTTAAAAATTATGGTTGATAATCAAGCCAAATTTTGCGAGTTCGACTCGTTTAAAAAATGAATTGAGCTCAATTCAAGCCGAAAACAAGTTGAACTCAAGCCGAGTTTGAGTAATTTGACTATTTTACATATAAACGTACCAAATTTTGAGAGCTTCAGTCGAGTCTTTTAGGCTTGTTTTCTAAATGAGGCTAAAAAATTCAAACTTGACTTATTTAAAACACAAACTAGACTCGAGTTGAATCCTATCCAAACAAAACTCGAGAAACATGGTTCAATTATCAACCCTAATAATAATTGAATGTTTCTCTACACGCGTATATCTTCCTTTCATGTTATTGGGTTTGACCTAGAAGTTAAGGCGATGACTTTGAATCTAAATAAATTGCAGGTGATTAGCATCTTGGAATTATTAAATAAGTGAGATTTCATGTGCACATTGATTATTAACAAGCTAGCTATGGCTGGCACAGCACATTCTTCTGTTTTTATAGCGGTGTCACTTCATTCTACCACATATTCTCAGCTTCTTCTACCCAATGCTGGTTCTAAATTATGTTCAAGCACCAAATAATACTCTAGCACTCCCTGTTCTGGAAGTTTTAGTTCCAATTGGATCATATAGATCTGTAAATAGATTTTTACGTATAGCCTCTTCATTCGTCTTCATCATTTCTCAAAAGTATAATTTTTAGGCACACATGGTCAATCAGGAATTCTCATGTTCGCAATTCTTCATCACCGATGCAAAAAATGCTTCAGTTTGCTACTCTCATATGAGGCCAAAAAGTTTATCGGCAACAAATCGACACGAAGTGATTTATCATACTCAAACATAAGTTGATGGGTTGTTATGGAATATTTATATAGATTATCAAATTTTTATGGAATGAGAAGTTCATTTGTAAATGGTCAAGACGCAAACATAACACTCCTTCCCCATATGGAGTGTAGGAATTGTGTCTATTTCGAGCTTTATTTTCCAATAGATTAGGATCAAGAAATTTGTTTTTGTAATCGAGAAACATGTCAATGTAAATAAAGCATGGTTTGCAAGCTAGACATTTTTCTTGTTAAAATTTCTTGATCCCTATCTTAATGATTATGAGGCAACCCTAATTATTGTCACTTTCGTCGAGGTATAACGAGATTAACTTAATTTGTCGTGATCCAAAATTGTTTATTGCACGCTATATAAGAAAATGAAATGATAAAAGATTAAAAGTCATGATGTATATGATCATAGACAATAATTTAATTCCGATTTTTGTATTATTAGTAGTTTTTTTTTCCCATAGAAGAGACTTGAATAAGGTTTTGCCCCCACAGCATTATTCCTAAATCGATTCCTCGTTGACTTTAAGGGATTATGGAAACTGGGATAGTATTTCTAACTTACATGATTGATATCCACGTACTCGGAATTATGATTAGTCAAAGTTTGGTAACACTAATCTGTCCCAATAGTGCTTAAACTTAAAAAATGTGATAAATACAAAAAATAATTTTAAGTGTAGTGTAAGTGGTAATAGAAAAGAGATATAAATTTAGAATTCGAATCTTGACAACATATTGAGATTAGATCCTGGAATATTTATTCTTTTTGAATACTTTAATTTCGACATAAATGATCTGTTTTAAATTGAACCAGGGAGGAAATTAGTGGCATCGATTAAGACTGAATTAGTTTAGAACAGGATGTACATACAACAAGACATTAGCTAAGTACCAATATTTTCCAACTTTTTTTTGGAATAGTTGGACAAAGGAAAGGGATCAACAAGTTTGGTCACCTGAGCTGTTCCTCCGCCTCTTCGCCGGAAAAATATGCTGGATACCACCATGGTCCGCCATGTACCACTCCTCTAACACCCCATCAAAGTCTATCTGGTGCACCCCAGAAGCAACAAACAAGCACCCCTCTGATAACCCGGGGAGACCACGGCACGGAGACTTAGTTTTCCGGCGACCGGCTCCAACGGGCACATTTCGAAGGGCTCCACCGGCTGTCCAATACCTTTGACAACCCTTGCAAAAGTGTCTTGGTTGGTTAACGTTGTAGTTGTTGAAGTAACAAAATTTGGTCTCCATGCTTTTGCACCTAGGGCATGGTATGATCTTGTCTGGCCTTTTTTCTGGCGTTTTATCTGCTATGTTTGGTTCATCTTTTGCTTGTTTCGCTTGCACCGCAATTGTTGTGCCAAATAACTTGATGCCCGGTGCACCATGACCGTCTTGAATGTCAGCCATGACAGAGAGAGAGAGAGGGGGGAGTTTGTCTTTGAAGGTAGAGGTCTTGGTGATTCACATATGTGGATTGATATTGGATTGTAAACGTATGTAGCAGGAAAAAAGCACAGGAGAGAGAGAGAGAGGGAGGGGGGTAAGTGTTTATCTTTGATGGTAGAGAGGCCTTAGAGATTCAAATATTTAGATTGGTATGGGGAAGTAGATGTATGTAACAGGAAAAAGTACATGAAAGAGAGAGATGGATGTATTTAGAAGAGAGGGAGAATGTTTATCTTTAATGGTAGAGGCCCTGGAGATTCATATATATAGATGTATGTAACAGAAAAAAGTACATCTCTAGATGTGTGTGTGTGTGTGTGTGTGAGAGAGAGAGAGAGAGAGAGAGAGAGAGAGATGGATATGTTCAGAAGAAAACTGTCTATCTTTGATGGTGGTGGCCTTAGATTTCACATATGTACAGGCTGCTATTATTGGGTTTGTAAATATAACAGAGAGAGATAGATGGAAGGGGCGGGGGGCTTTAATTTGGAGCTTGTTTACTGTATAGAACCTTAAAGTGCATAAACATAAGACATGAGACCTGAAATTTCATGAGCCGCCATGGGGGTGTGTGGGGTAGAAAAGTTGATGCTGAACTTTTTGTCTACCTCATTACTCCTACTCCAAATTCATCCTCATCATCTTCTGGTATTGAAAGTCTCTCACAAGTGGGTCCCAAACCAGGTAGGTTGCGTATAAAGTGTTTGAAAGTGGAAGCATAAAGATAAAGAGATAAAGCTAAAACTTCCTTTTAATTTGATTAATATCTGTCCCTTTATGCTTTCTTTTTTTAGATTATTATATTATGATTAATATAATATCATATGCTGACACATCATGATCATTTGTTTTTCATCCTAATGGTTAACCTCAAAGAATATTTAAAAAAAAA